ACGTTGCGTTTGTGGTCGCAACCGTTCGCAACCGTTCGCAACCGTCCGCGCGATCCCCGTATGGCCGTGCCTATGGGAAGTTTTACAGAGGTGGTCCTTTTTGGAGGTTTCAGACGTGTCGTTGCTTCGTTTCGCGTGGCAGGCGTGGCACTTCGTGACATTCAGACGTGTTCTGGAACGTGTCGAAAGTCGTTTTGCGTGGCAGGCGCAATACTTTTCAGAAGATGTGTTGCAGTTTTCGTGGCAGGCGCAGCACTTTGGACGTGTCCATCGTCATTTTTCGTGGCAGGCGCAGCACTTTAGACGTGTCATGTTGCGTGTTTTTTGCAAATCGCATTGGCAGGGCTGCGTCAAGTGGCGACAAGGTGCAAATTCCGTGGCAGGCGTGGCATTTTGTGCGATGTGCTGAAAATTGACGGAAGCCTCGCACGAAACATCGATTTTGAGGTTGCCAATTTTCAGGTTCTAAGGAAAACTCGTAGGAAAACGTCGATTTTGAAGCTGCAAAGTGTGAAAATTGGAGGAAGTCTCGCACGAAATGCTCGTTTTGGTGCTCCCACGTGTCTCGTCTCGCGTCTCTGGTTTTCCCGTGGCCTCGCCGTGTCTATGGGGGAAGCTGCAAAACGTGTCCTTTTGTCATGTTGCCAACTGTGAAAATTGCCGGAAGTCTCGTACGAAATGCTGGTTTTTCTGCATCCACGTGTCTTGTCTCGAGTCGCTGGTTTTCCTGTGGCGTCGCCGTGTCTATGGGGGAAGCTGGAAAACCTGTCCTTTTCAAAGGTTTCCAAGGAAGTTGTCATGTCGTTTTGCGTGGCAGACGTGGCACTTTCTGACATTCCAACCTGTTTGATAATGTGTCAAACATGTCAAAATTGGAGGAAGTCTCGTACAAAATGCTGGTTTTTCTGCATCCACGTGTCTTGTCTCGAGTCGCTGGTTTTCCTGTGGCGTCGCCGTGTCTATGGGGGAAGCTGGAAAACATGTCCTTTTCGAATGTTTCCAAGCAGGTTGTCATGTCGTTTTGCGTGGCAGGCGTGGCACTTTGTGACATTCCAACCTGTTTGATAACGTGTGGAAAATATCAAAATTGGAGGAAGTCTCGCACGAAATGCTTTTTTTTTGCACCCACGTGGGGGAAGCTCCGCGCTCCACACTCTACACTTTACACTCCACAATTTACACTTTAGACCCCACACTCTACACTTTACACTCCACACTTTACACTTTGCACTTTACACTCCTCACTCCTCACCTGAGACTTTACACTCCACACTCCACACTTTACACTACACTCTACACTTTCCACTCCTCACTCCTCACTCCTCACTCTACACTTTACACTCCGCACTCCACACTCTACACTTTACACTCCACGCTCCACACTTTACACTACACACTCCTTACTTTACACTCCACACTTCACACTCCACACTTTCAACTCCAAACTCCACACTTTACACTCCTCACTCCACACTTTACACTCCTCACTCTACACTTTACACTCGTCACTTTACACTCTACACTCCACACTCTAGATTTTACACTCTACACTCCACACTTTAGATTTTACACTCCACACTCTACACTTTCCACTCCACATTCCGCACTCCACACTTTACACTCCACACTCCACACTTTACACTTTACACTCCTCACTCCACACTCCCCACTTTACACACCACACTCCACACTCTACACTTTCCACTCCACACTCCGCACTCCACACTCCACACTTTACTGTGCACTCCACACTCCACACTTTATACTTTACACTCCTCACTCCACACTCCACACTTTGCACTCCTCACTTTACACTCCACACTTTACACTCCACACTTTACACTCCACACTTTACACTCCACACTCTACGCTTTACACTCTACACTATACACTCTACACTCCACACTTTACACTTTTCCACTTTACACTCCTCACTCCACACTTTACACTCCACACTTTACACTCCACACTCTACACTTTACACTCCATACTCCACACTCTACACTTTATACTCCGCATTCTACACTTTACACACTCTACACTCCCCACTCCACACTTTACACTCCACACTCCTTACTTCACACTCCACACTCCACACTTTCCACCCCACACTGCAGACTGGTAACAAGGGAAACATGTACAAGACTGTTCAAATATAAACTATTGCAGAAAGGTATTGTGCGTGACTGCATAACCATGTGCTTTGACATCTGTACCATTAACATACGTGTGAGCATTCGGGTTCGTGGGCTTCATCTTGTTTTTTCTCCTGCAGAGTGCACTAGTTATAGATGTTATCTTCAGTTAATCAGTACTTTAGTACTTTCAACAAAGGGATCTCCAAAAATAGATCTGCAGTGTTTGTTTAAGCTTTATTCCAGCACTGCTGCACCACTGGTATTCTGGGGTGAGTTTGCAACGCAATGTGCCCGCCAGTTGTAAGTTGGTTTATAAACCTCAAACTAGATATAGATAGTTATCCCCGACAAACCCTGGTTAGCCTCCAATCTGAATTAAAAACAAAGTTGCCTAACACAGGCTCACCAACTTGAATGATAGCATTCTTTTGCAACATGTACCTCGAAGTACCTTGAAATTTGGGGATCATCTCAGTCACTGGAGGGCCTCTTGGGACTTGAAACCAGCATCATTCCAAGATTCTTTCACTAGAAAAGCACTTTGGTTTTGGAACATTGGGTCTAAAATACTCTAAATTGCCCCGCTGAGACTAGGCAAGGGCTCATTTTGCTGCATGGCTAACCTTAGAAGATGTGAGAAACAAAGCGTTCGGGATAATATTAGGGAATAATATTAGGTTTGACCAATCTTTTTCAGACAGTGTCTCGTCATTTTCCCCATGGGGAGTAAATCTCCCATTTTCAGACACACACACATTATAGAGCGGCTAAGAAAACAATATCAACTCCAGATCAATCAACTGTGTTGACTCAAAAATTTCGGATGGTTACCCCCATCCTGAAATTCATTACTATCAAAATTTGCATTAGATATTACATGATATTACTAACCTGGTGGTTCACTAATAATGGCGTCACTAATTATCGTGGATCCGCCATTCCCATAGCATCCAAATCATAGATGGTAAACCACCACAAGTTCCCATCCCATGAATCTGGTAAATAGCTCGCCAGTACAATGTTTCACTTGTAGTTATGGAAAACCATTTAATACCCTCTGGTAGTTTCACAATGATTCACATATATATATATATATAGTTATGGAAAATCATTCAAAGGTAACCCTCTGGTAGTTTCACATATAGTTTATGTTATATATAAGCACATATATATATATATTATATATATATGCAACATCATCATGTTTGATAGTTACATCATGGTTACATAATCTATAAATGGCTCATTTTAAGACTCGTTTTCCATGGCACACTCTCAAAACGATCGGATGCACCGAGTCGCAGCTGATTCGAGCTGGGCCCTTGGTGGTTTTGGACGCGGGATGCGGCGGATTGTTTCTGATGGTTAATGTGATAACCTCATATATTTATCTATGGGATAATGTATGGGATATTAATGGAATAATATGGTTACTAATCAATAGATATGGTGGATGATTATTAATATCTGGTTGGTGGTATACCTACCTCTCTGAAAAATATGAGTTCGTCAATGGGAAGGATGACATCCCATATATTATGGAAAATAAAGCATGTTTGAAACCACCAAGCAGTTTTAATCATGTCTGACATTAAGATACATTAAGGACCGTTTCTGATTTTGTCAACTCATGTGGAGTCACGCTTTGGAAGCATTCAGAAGTATGATCTGTAAACCAAGAATGTTGATGCAATTCGTCCAGTGTACCTATAGGATCCTCGGTCAGCGGGGATTTCTGCTAACACCGGAAAGCCCCGAGATGCCCCGGGATAAATTTGCTAGGCATGTTGTCATACTTAAGTCTGAACCACACCCAGTGTGTCCGTAAAGGGGTGCCACATCCTCCAGAACAGCTTGGGTCAAGTCACTTCAGCAAGCTCAGGCAACTTGTGGCGTTCTCTTTAAGTACTAGGTGGTTTCCCTCCTTCCCAGTTATAAGTTCATTTACAAACCCAGGTGTCATCAACCAGTGCTTTTTGTTTGTTATTCTCAGCCATAAACCATGCCAAATGATCTGGGCCCTCGCACATCTTGGCCGCTTGCTGCCAACCCAACAACTGAGTTCAACTGAGAGCCAGCTGGCAAAGCACAAACAGGCTACTGGATGCTGTTGATATCTGTTGATCTGGATCGTTAATGATAGAAATCCGATAAATCCATAGAAATCCTCCCATGATGTCATTTCAGGCCAGCAATGATGCGGCCTCACGTGAACATCATGGATCTTGGGGAGCTGGCCGTTTGGCATTTGCGGTTTGTTTTGTTACAACCTCTTGATGTTGCAAGAGATCCCAGGTTCATTTGCGTACTGCTGACACAGCCACAGCTCTGTAAAGCCTCTTGTTCAGCAGGGGCCTGCCTTGATTGCTGGTTCCGCGCAGAAACAAATCCTTAATACTCCTTGGGTCTGAAGATCACATTCAAATGGAAACTATGGAATTATCCTGGTCACAATTGACAATGCCACAAGTTCTCAATAGTATCAACCCTTACTGCTGTCAAAGTCTCACCCCTCACCAGCTGAGCAGTGTTCAAAACTCGGTCCGTCGGTCCTTGAAAAACTGTTTGGTTGAGAAGGGCATTCCCCGTTCATGGTTTTCTATTCCCCAGAAAAGGTTGGTGAGTATGGTCCCCGAGCAAAGCATCAACCGGGGTTTTCTTCGCAGCCACTGCTCAACTCAGTGTTAAAAATCCCTTTCATTCCATACTGCCTGGTTGAGAGCGGGATTCCCACAATGGATCATGATCATCCCCAATGTAGTGGCTAGACTATTATCATCTATTGTCTCCTAAGGGTACATCAACCACTGGTTTCGCAGCCACTGCTCTGTCACCAAGCTCTCCATCACTTTTTGGCCGCAATCAATCTCTGCTCAGGACACGAACCTGGGGCGATCAGCCGAAGCCGCCAGAATCGTGGGAGAACAAATGACCACGAAATACAACGTTTGACACATAAATGTGTTTTCTTTCCAAATACCATTACATCACATATATATATATAATCCAACATGTCTCAATAATTCACTCAAATGACAATGCAATCCAGTGTATCTAAATCATTTACCCACACGGAGGTAAGTGAAAAGATAACCCTAAATAAGAGAAATGAACACATCAAAAACCATGAAACACCTCAAAACATACCCAAGAAACAAACACGGCAAAAAAACACTTAAAAAATAATACCCCAAACATACAAACCGAATAAGACATTGATGTTTCCCAAGATAAGGGTACCCCTGTTTCCCCATGAACAAAATGTAATCATTTACCAACCACTAACTTTTGATCTGGGTTCATGTTCATGCCCAAAAGCCAGGCTTTATTTTTCTTCTTTTAGTTTGTAACTGAGCACTTCCGCAAAGGTGTCCCAGACTTTCTATGATTGACCATTGTGTGTGTTTTGGGTCATAGACCTCAAGCCTAGTATAATACATATATATATATATACACATAATAATATACGTATATATATATATATACATATTTTGCGGAGGTTTCCTTATAAACCTTCCATTTTGGGTACCTGGACCCCCCCCACATATATATAATATATATATATATATAATATATATATAATATATATATATATATGCAGCTATAGAAGTACATCAACTTCCCCATGGCACAACGGCTGTGGGACGACTGTAGCACCACTTTTCTTGGTTATCTTCTGGTTATTTGACATAGCCATGGCACATGGCCCATTGATAGATGATTTCCCATTCAAATCATCCATTTATTTCCTAGCCACGTTTGATTGCCATAGGGTTTATCACTATTGATCAGCACTAATAAAAACTAATCACTGGTTGGTGGTTGACCTACCCCTCTGAAAAATATGAAAGTCACGTGGGATGATTATTCCAATATATGGAAAAATAAAAAATGATCCCAACCACCAATCAGATCACCATGATTGAACCATTCTTCACCATTATTCACCATCATCCATCCTCTACCGCCTCAGGTAGCATCAGCACTGCCGTGCTCTGCGCGTCGCCCACACCGCCCGGCCGTGCCTGGTCGGTTTTCTCATGTAACAGGGGTGAAATATACAGGGCACTAAGACATACCAACCCCAAAATGACCATTTTCACAAGGAAACCGATGATAAACCATCAGGTTTGGGGGTCGTCTATATACATAATTCTATCCTATTATCAGTCAAAACCATTTGAATCCATAATAATATGCTTAAAATATCTAAAAATATCTAAACATGTGGTAACATCTGGGGTTGAATGGGCAGAATCTGCCGTGGGGTGAACGTCAGCAACGCTCTGCTGACATATTCCGACTCAGCGAACCCAACCTTGGATATGAGTACCGGCTACCCCAATAAAACTCCAAAATGGGTTGGTTGGCTTTCAAAGAAGCAATCGAAACCCTTATCGACTTCTTGGTTTCATGAAGTTAGCATCATTGTTGGTTCATATGTGTCCCAAGTACTCCCTATCTGCCTATCTGTAATTTCAGGATCCCCTGTGGCTAGGGATGATCCTCATGTGCTCTTGGATTAGCTCCCGCAAATACAGAATATATATAAAACATATCAAATCGGACAAAACCAACACGGTGATTGAACACAAACCCATACAAACCCACTCTACTGGAAATCATGAATTTGACAAATACAGTTGCGCATGGATTTGGACAACAAATTTTCACATTGAATATTTACCCACTCAAATCTTGTCAATCTTGCCAATATATTATATATAATTTAACTCCGGTGTTTTGCTGCGAATCCGTTTGGTGGTTTTCATCTTTGATCCCATGGCAAAAGATGTTTTTAGATCATAATTCTCTCATGGGCACAAAAAAATCATAGACGTCCCTTCAGTCGGTGGCAATGACAGTTCATCGGGACCATCAGCCTAGGGTTGAAGAGTTGAACGCAAAACGTACCTGAAACATGTTGAAACCACCCAACCCATTCCAAATGTATAGAGTGTTATATTTTTTATAAATATATCATTACGTCATGGTTGTTGCTTCATTCTCCATTTTTCATGGTTAACACCGGAATAGATGGGTCGATTTCTTGGCGGGCTGTATTGGCTTATTGGGGATCATTATATAGATATTTTGTGAATTATAACAGTGGAATTATATAGCAATATTATATGGGGAATATCACTTGTAGTGGAATTACTTGATATAATATACCAATTCTTATTATACTGGCTCAATTATATTCCCCATAGGAAGAATATCAATCTACCAGCCAGTATCATGGCAACGAAAGGGCCTCAACGAAGAGATATTCCCCAGTTCCGTGGCAAATGACCCGCAGCTGCTGGCCATCCGAGACCTGGGCGAAGCTGTCCCGAAGGTTGTGCCGCTGAGGGGGAAGGCAGTATAACAATCAACGAATAGGATTAACAACAATAATAATAACAATAATAACAACAACAACAGCAACACCAACACCAACACCAGCAGCAACAGCAGCAACAGCAACAGAAACAGCAACAGGAACAACAACAGCAACAGCAACAGTAGCACCAGCACCAGCAACAGCAACAGCAAGAACAACAACAGCAGCAACAGCAACAGCAACACCAGCAACAGCAACAACAACAACAACAGCAACAGCAACAGCAGCAACAGCAACAGCAACAGCAGCAACAGCAACAGGAACATCAACAGCAAGAACAACAACAGCAGCAACAGCAACAGCAACAACAGCAACAGCAACAACAGCAACAACAACAATAACAGCAACAGCAGCAACAACAATCATCACAATTACAATTACAATTAGGGTTCAAACATGGAACATGGAGACCTAATCATCACAAATGCGTTTTAAACCATCCAAATACTGTGATATATTGAAGAAATTATGCTTCATTGATGGTATTTGATGGAGAAATTGGAAAACGGGATTGAATCTGCAAAGGGGAATCTGGAGATGATGGGCACTGGTTATGTTGATGGATGGTTTTGGTGCTTGGACAGGCTCAGGGTCTTCAGCGATGTTCAAAGGGTTTAGCCAAATCATCAAAGGTATGTATATATATATATATTTATACAATATATCAGCTATTTATGAGAAGTATGGGCATGCTATTCTGGTGTATACCACATGTCATATACATATACATGTCATATATATATACACATGCATACACATACATTGACATGACGTTCATGTCTATAGGTATAGGTACACATTGTACACACACATGCAACAGAAGCACACAGTACAAGTTTCAGAGTTGGCTGCCTGTGCCACCCCAAACACATGGCGTGGCAACAAGCCATCACATGGTGTCACCTGTGGTTTGGTAGAATCCTCGTCATCCTTTGACCATGTGTTAAAAATATTTCATTGTTCGCTTCGCACTTCCCCTGTTGAGTGAAGTTTGCAGCCCATACTTGGCTGATTTGTGACTGTGGCTTGGCATAACTGGGCGAAACCCCTTTCAACTCAAAGTCATGGTCCCGCACGCTTTTTTCCCTTCCACCTAGTATATTAAATATTCCCAAACGAAAATACTGGTTTTGTTATATTTTGGATCTATTAATGTTGGGGCCCCAGTGTAGGGCGTCTTTTCTTTGCAACTCCCAAACAACGAAAAGTCAAACGCTACTATAAACCAGTGGTCAATTTGACATGTTCTATTATCAATTGCTGGTTTTCCATAATATTCAGAAGAATCCTACTACTTAAAAAAAAAAAACAATAAAGCCGTGGTAAATCCAGGTCTTGGGATTGCCATTCCTTCCGCTGCGCCCACAAGCCATCACAAGCCGCACCTCCAAGGATAAACACTCCACCGCTTCCTCAATCTTCGAGCTATTGCCCATCAACAGAAACAGGCGCTGACCTGGGGAATCACGTCGCAGGGCTGATCCCTGTCCACCCCACTTGTGGCTTGCAGAAAAATCCCAAATAGAATTGAATCACCCAGGTAACAAACAAATAGTTGGGATTATCACCCCAAAACATCCCTTAAAAACTTGGGATATTTATACAATGATATATATATATATAAGGATGCACATTGTTTGGAAAAAATGACATCATCAACATAAGACATATTAGGCTATTAATATAGGACTTTCAAGCCTCATGAGATGATCATCCCAGGGTCCTGCGTCCTGGCTACCTCCTATATCCAGGTGAAGTTCTATGTTAAGAAAAATCTGAAGAATTCAAAACTGCTTTGCAGAATGTTCTCTTGTGGATTTATTTATTCGTATTTTTTGGTTAATGCCAAGTTCGTTTTTTAATAACCCCCCCCAGAAGGTCCAAATCCATGAGAAGGTTTTCACCCACAAAGAATGAGCAGCAAAACCACAAATGGGATTCATGAGATTTGGAATGGGATTCGTGAGGATGAAACATGCTTTGAATCCATTGGTTTTCCATTGGTTTTCCATTGGTTTTCCATTGGTTTTCCATTGGTTTTCCTCTTGATTTTGAATCCAAACATTTGGGTTTCCACAAGGGTATTGTTTAATAGGTAATAACCCATGTTGATTAGAGAGCTTTCCAAGGAACCCAAAGTAGTATTGTCATTTTCTTGGGGGGAATGTGGGTGTTGATTAATCCGGGGCTGCTGATTAATATGAACTTAATAGTTAACATTATTCATTTTTCCGACAAGATGATGTGTAGGTGAGGATATCTAAATAGGATATGTTTTCAGGATAAAGACATATGGTCCATGGATGTTTATTTTCAGACAAACTCATACGGTCCATGGATTGTTATGCATCCCATTCATAGTCCATTCCCATTCCATCAATATGTCATTCATATACTATCCCACCAATACACTTTTTTTCTTGGATAATATATTTTATTTCACATTTACATAGGGATTTATATTCTATATACCATTTAATTACAAATTGGAATATGGTTTTAAAAAAATGGTTGCTTTATTAGGTGTTCCATTTGCTGAATTAATCCAGCTAGTAAATATCCAACCATATTCCTATCATCAATAGTATGTTGGATATGGTTGGATATTTACTAGTAGTAAGGTAACCACTTCGAACCTACTGATATGGTTGTATCACATAGATGTTCAATTTAGTGAAACCTTATGTTGCTGAATTGCTGTTTCGCATTTTTTTCTACCGAGCCGCCATAAGTCTCACTGCAACAGTCGCGCGTCCAGACTTTCACCTGCCAGGCGATGTCATCTCTGCACAAGTTGAGTGATGCTGGCACAAAAATGTACAACATCAATCAACGAATAACTGATATGAATATGTTTATATATATGATATATGGTTTAAATTACGACATATTGATATGAACACACATATGACATACATTAATGTTGATGTTACAGAAGTTGGCGGATACATATGCGTTGGTTATACATATCACATATGTATATATGGAATGTGATGAATAATATATAATAACATAATACACACTATTGATTGGATTTATATGATGATGACAAAATAAAATGACATACTATTGCAATATGTTCCATATACAATATGCTAATAAAGATGTTCTTGCTGATGATACATGCATTTATTGGCTTGATGGACTTAAAAGTCATATTCCGTGAAATCCTACAAGGTGGTGCCCCCAAGCTATGTTTGCTCGATGTATCGTCCATAAAGCCATCCTAGTCAGCCTAGTTGTGTTCACCAAGTTACGCAAGAAACTGGGACACCACCTTGTACTTTACCTTTGTCAAATCCACGTTCTTGCTGGTTAAATCACAACTGTTGTTGGTTATTAAATCCTCAGTGTTCTCTCGTGTTCATCAAATTCGCCGCTAGGTCTTAATCCCCACTAATCCCCATTCATCATCATGAATCCCTCATTCATCCCCATATTTCTCAAATGTTGATGCTTCAACCACCATTACCTTGGTAACATCATTTCAACATTGGAATGGGCTTCTAGAATCATAAAAACATAATTTAATTAAACTGAGCTATGTACATAGATATTCGTAGATTGGGATGGGAATGTAAAACAATTGGATCTATGATGGGAAACACATATCCAGTCCCAATCTATTAAACAAAAATAACCACCAATGAATTAAATAGATTGGTAAATCAGCAACTTTAAATCTTTTATATAGAATTGAAAAAAATAGATGTGGTTTCTCCCATTATTTAAACGGTTTCAACCATCCTGTTTGCGGTGCAGGATTTTGCAACCATCCACTGTAGATTTATAAAAATTAGATAACATACCATCAATCTATAGTGAATTTACCATCACTATAGGTTGATTCTAAATCACCAAATTACAGCACATAGATTTATAGAATCTTATCAGGCGAATTATGGTTTAGATGAATTATGGTTTATAGCCCTTACATTCTTACCAATCGCCAATTTATAGAATTCTGTGGTTTATCCCACTATCTATAGGGTTTCAACCATCCTTTTGGTGGTACATAGATTGGAAATGATTAGATACATAGATTTTAAAGCACCAACATTATAGAATTAGACACCTCTATAATTAGTAATTTTATATCATCACATTTTACCATCACTATACTGTAGATGGATTTGAAATCAAGAATCTATAGAATTAGAAACCATCAAAAATTAGAAAATATAGGTTGATGGTAACATCACTATAGATTGATGGTAACATCAGTATTGATTTTAATTATAGAATTAGACACCATCAAATTCACTCTGAAAAATGACCCGCACCTCCGGATCCACGGCCATGCGGCGCAGCTTCACCCACCAGTGCGAGGCACCCACTGAGAACCAGGATGATTTCATGGGAAAATATGAGGATTTATCACCAGGCCAACGGATGGCAAGATTGCAGGGTATAATCAAATGCTAGTTAATATGCTTGTTGGTAGTATATTAACCTATAACAAATGGGAATCATATATCTATTATATAAATCTATTATATACCATATATCTTTATTTGCTTGTAGTATATACAGTATATATATATATATATACAGTTAATAGGGTGTATAAACCAACAAACATAACTCTGACCACCCTGTAGGGAATGGGTAGCTGGATTTTTCTCTCTAGGTATTAAGGGAATGGGATTCTGATTCACTCTCCAAGCAAAGAGACAAACACATATTGCACAAACCACTCTATATATATATACATTTCTATACTGTACAGGCCTCCGAAAACCATTAGATTCATTGGATCCAGTGCGTTCCGCCAAGGTTTCGTTTGCAAAATCAGATTTGGCATCGAGACCACCGGATAATCTCAAGCCGAAACAATTTTTCAGTGCTCAGACAATGTATACTAAGTACACTACCTAGCAGAATCATAACAGTGATAGAACAGATTACCCCAAAATCAGGTCATTTGGGGACACCGGGACACCAATTCCCATCATTTCTAGTGACGTCGCATTGGACACAGGCCCAGGTCTTTGAGTCACCGGCCATAGTGATCTACGTTGGCTTCCTGATAGTTCGCCGTCTGTGCTAACGCTGAACATAGTGGGCCCAGAAGTAATTTCACTATACCGAAATTTCCTGTTCTAAGTTGCTGCAATTTGCTGGTAGGAATGCTAAAACCCTGACCCAAATTAAATTCAGCCAATACGGAATCCATCACAACCCAACTGTGCGGAGGGCGTCTGAACCACGGATGCTAGCAAACATGTTCAGCTACACTACCGGCAGGAATGTTGACAGTTCGTTGGACAAACTGCAACCATATCTCTGAGAAATCAAATAGGCATTTCTGAAATGAAATGTATACCTCCAAAACCCTCCAAATGGCCAATTTCATAGGGATCAAATAATTATGACTATTGAATGTCATTCAATTTCGGGCTTCCCAAAATCATGAGACAAACCTAACAGGCCAAATGACATGTGCATCACATCATCCAATCATTGTGAGTTGACAAACCTGTGCAATTTTGGGTTGATTCCCGCAATTTTAACAATCATTCCAGGGAAGTCACAGTGAGCTCCTTATAAATCATCCAGACATATAAACCTGCCTAAATGAATATACTGTATATATATATATAAGTTTTGAGATTCTGTTCTCCACGAACTGCTATGTTGATACAAAGAGTCAAATCATTTCACAGAACAAATTTTATACTTCTTATTCACCACAATGCTTTCAAGGTTAACATAAAATGAGCTATATACATTGACACATGGTTGTTCAGAAACGCTATATAAATGGTTTACTTTCAATGTAATCCCGAAAAACCTAAAAGTCATGTGTGACTCATGTTTACCCCCATGATACTGACAACCCACAATTAATCAAGGGGCAATCCATGAGTCATCGGGCTTTTCTGGGTACAGTATATATATATATATTATTGTATATATATGTATATATATATATTAAATGATATATATATATGTAATATATTATATAGTGTCCTTTTATATTCCCATAAAACAGGAATTCCCATTACAATTTAATATATATATATATAATGTCAATATCATGGAATTAGTTGGTAATGTAACCATCAACCAAAACATTTTATATATAATATATGATGGTTTGGTAATATTCCCATCCCAAAAAACACCAAAACATTCACTCAGAGCCGCCCTCGCAGCGGCGACGACGTCAAAGTGGTACTGGTGAGGATGGTCCTCACCGATGGCTCACCGCGGTGCCACAACGATGGTTACAATAGGTGCCGCAAACATGGGCTTCACCCCACCCAAAATATGAGATGTTCACCAGATATATGGAGATAATTGGGATAGAAACCAAAACTATGGGGGATAGTGGGGAATCTGTGCAAAAATCGTGATTTAACCAGCAATAATGATCGTGAATTCCCCATCAAAATCATTTCAAAATCAGGATTCAACATATTCAACAAGGAAAAAGTACAACGTGGCTCCCCAGGAAGTGTTGGGTAACTCGGGGGTCACATAACTAGGCAAATTTCTGGGTTATAGGGGTTATATCGAACTAACATTAACTGGGTGTACAAACCAACAAATACTACTGGGGAGCACCTCCTTGCAAGATTGAATATTTGGGCCCCACTCTGAACTTAGGATATGCCCTGGTTCGACCCGGTTTTCCCCAAGAAATGCGATCCAAAATGGCTCTGCGAACCATTTTGCTGAGGTGCCCATGGTCCCTCTATGTCACTTCCAGTGTTTAATACTTCTATGACGCTTTAACGTCTTGTTCCATTAATATGACATTTGCTTTTTGAAAAATCGGGTGCCCCAAAAATCTCATGAAGTTAATAGAACTGCTGGGTATCCTCCATTTTCTCCACAAATGCATGCTGATTTTCTGTTCCCGATGCAGCTGATGATTTCGGATACAGTAGTGGCTCCCAGTGATTGACTCCCTCAAAATATTCCATTATGTCAGCCGTTGCCCTGAGGAAAACGAGGCTTGTGTAGATATGGAAGATTCATGGTTTCCACCCGGAATATCCATATCCATGTCAAGTTTACCCCACTGTGACCCATTTGGCATCCTATCTTTCATCTGGTCATGTCGAAATGATGTTGATCAACCAAAAATGGATGCCTTCAGCCATTGAACATTTTCACGGGAATCGGCAGCACCGTGCTGTCTTTGCCAACATACAGTGACACAGGAATTGACCAGTGGGCTGACCAGAACGATGGAATTGAATTACACCTGTATAGTCAGGATCCAGTTTTTTAACAAAAAGGAACTGATTGATCTGATTGGCGCTTGAACATCCACTTGTATCACAATGTTAGCCCTGGATTTATATGGATTCGTGGTGGAATTGTTTTTTGTTGAAACTCAACGATGAGGTTTCCATGGCGCGTCCACGAGAACTACTATAGTTGCCAAAAAAATCGGTGTCGCTTGGCTAAGTTTCGGGGATATTCACATGACAATCCAGGCTAACATCCCCTGGAACCCCTCACCTAGCAATGTTTTCTCTTCCATGCATTGGTATCAATATCCATTTCTTGATGATCTCTATTGTTTCCTCCAGACGAGATCTTTTTTCCAGCCAGCAGTTGGAATAATGTGGTAAACAGGAAAAAAACATTCCCAAAATCACCAAAAATGGCTGGTATATGGTGCTACAAACCATCCCCAAAAGGTAGGTTTATGGACATAAGTCCTATTATATCCCACTGTATCTCACTATGAACTCACTGTAAACCCAATATATATATATATATTCCATTGTAAACGCGCTATATCCCACTATATCCCACTAGATCCCACTAGCGATGATAAAATTGTTGGATAGATTGGAAACCAATTATATTGTTGGATATTACCCATTATTATCCCACTAGATATTCTTATACCAATATTATCCGAATTATCCAATATTATCCAATCTTAATATTGATATCCCAGTGTTCCCATTATATCCCATTGTAAAATTACCAATATTTTCACATTAATATCCCATTCATATTAATACATATTAATACTGTATTACCAATATGACCTCCGGTAAATTAACATAGACCCTGGCAGATAGGGGTTGGAAGATTAGTTGCCACAAAAAAAATGTTATTTTCAGGGTCTATGTTAATTTACCAGAGGGTATCCATTATTATCCCATTGTAAAATTACCAATATTAACATTAATATCCCATTCACATTAATGTTACCAATATGATCACTTTATTGAATTACCATTCAACTACCCATTTAAAACATGAAAAATATCACCATTATTTCCCATTAAACTACCATTAATATTAATGTTATCCCATTGTAAACCCAACATTCTTGGGTTCCCCCCCCTCCAACTCCTGTCGTGTATCGCCGTCGTTGCCCAAGCGGGCCGGTCCGTCCGGCCGTGGGGTGGAACCGCCTTATAAAAAGGGCGCGATGGAAAGGGGGGCCGGGCCCTGGTTTGCCATGGGGGTACCACCAAATCATCCATTTGCACCCTCTGGTAAACTAACATAACTATCGAAAATCACCATTTTTTATAGGTAAATCAACTATAAATGGCAATTTTCAATAGCTATGTTAAATTACCAGAGGGTAGATGTTATTGCGGGTAAATCCAATTTATGGAACCCCCCAGATGGGTCTTATTGATCAATTTTCTGAAATCCCTGCTGGATGGTTTATTTCATGGAAAATCCTATCTACAAATGGATGATTTAGGGGCACCATGACTTAGGAAACCTCCATCTATCAGGGAAAATTAGAGTAATTCACTCGCCTGAAGATGAATTTTGGATTCCCTGCGCTAACCATGATTCCAGTGAGTTCGCAGTGAGGTCACTAGAATTGACCCATATCATATATATATAATGCACATCTGCCTAGTAAGTCCAGATAGATATCATCAAAATTACTAAAACACAATAATATTATTAGGTATGACGACGTGCTAGTATAATGTAGTATGATATACCGTTGTTAGACAAGAAACACACATATTAACTACAGTATGATATAACATCAACCGACTAACCGACTATGATAAGAAACAGCACGATGCAATAGGATATACTGTGATATACTGTAAAACGCGACAAAACGGTATAGAATACGATATGTTGCTAAACTAAAACAGTAATGTTCTTTCTATGTTTTGATATGGGCTTCTTGTTGTGTATCATTGTGTATCCCCAACTGGTTGCTTTCAAGCAATCCAGAAAGTATAAAACAGTCAAGTGGCACGATCTCAAGTCGGATAATTATTCAGAAAACTTGACATCAGCAACAAGCCAGGTCGGATAAGATGGATTACCAGAATTCTCGTTGGGGTATATAATTGTGGGTCGAAACCCTGCATTGGTGACTTGACGAACATTCAAATAGCTTGCAAAAAAATGTGTGAACGGATGTGAACGGATGTTTTTTCATTCTCCTAGTACATCCCCGTTCAAATCTCATTCAAATCGCACATCCATGTTCTCCAAATGACAATCCGTCCCCTTTTTTTGTGGGGAACTCCCATATGACGCTGTGGAAATCAACGACACCAAGTCGCCCAAAACTGAGCCCAGACACCACTGGGCTGCCGAGTGGAGAGATCGCGAAGTTCGTCCGGCAGAGAATGCACGGAGGTTTCGTCCTATGGCGACCAAGAGAAGCCCCAGGATTCAGGGACCATCAAATCCATCAAATGGATGTTTCCATAGTTATGGTGGTACCCCAAAATCAATTTTAGTAGCTTTTTCAATTATAAAGCATCCGTTCTGGTGATTCACGATTTATGGAAACCCCAAAATAAACATCTAAAAAAAACACTGCGAACATGATTAAACTTGTGAGGGTCCAGTTTGTTCTATGCACGCTTGAGACCACTGTTCAACACAGTCATGGAGTCAGTTCGTCATGATAGACTTTTATAGCCCGTAGCCCCTATACCATCTAGTCAATGGCCATTTCAGGAACCTAAATTTGAGGTACCGACCATTTTTTTATAAGGCCTATATAAGGCCTATGTAAGGGAATATCCCCACAAAGTATGGCCTTATATGGTAAATTCCCATTCATCTAGTATCATCAACAGGGTTTTGGATACTATGTGATAATCACATGTGGCTGGAAAATCCTCTACTTAAATGGAGTTTCCAATGGGAAAAAACATTTATCGATCTGGGATTTTCCAGCAAGCTACGTCTCACTCCGGAGGGTCCATCGCATTTATTTGTTGCTTACATCCCATTACATCCCACTACATCCCATATGAATAATATTAAACATGTCCATTAAAAGTCTCAACAAACTTCTATGCCCATTACTATCCCATGATATCCCATATTAATTTTCCCATCACAGGCCAGTAATTACCCTCCAATAAATTCACATAGACCCTGCAATTTTTCGGGCTTCGAAGATTAGTTTCCACTCAAAATGGTTGTTTTTCAGGGTCTATGTTAATTTACCAAAGGGTAACTGGTTGGTGGTATACCTACCCCTCTGAAAAATATGCTCGTCAGTTGGGATTATTATTCCCAAAATATGGAAAGGCATAAAAAATAAATATTCCAAATCACCAAACAGCATTTATATAGATATTTATAGTTGCTTGATGGTTGAATCCTCCAGAAATCCCATTAAATCCCATTAAAATCCCATTAAATCCTCCAGAAATCCCATTAAATTTCCAGAAATCCCATTAAATCCTCCAGAAATCCAATTAAATCCACCAGAAATCCAATTAAATCCCTCAGAAATCCCAGTAAACCCCCCAGAAATCCCATAAAATCCTCAGAAATCCAATTAAATCCCTCAGAAATACCCGTAAATCCACCAGAAATACCATTAAATCCCCCAGAAATCACATTAAATCCCTCAGAAATCACATTAAATCCCTCAGAAATCCAATTAAATCCATCAGAAATCCCAGTAAATCCTCCAGAAATCCCATTAAATCCCTCAGAAATCCAATTAAAACCCTCAGAAATCCCTTTAAGTACCCAGAAATCCGCAGTAAATCCACCAGAAATCCAATTAAATCCATCAGAAATCCAATTAAATCCCTCAGAAATCCAATTAAATCCCTCCGAAATCCCAGTAAATCCCCCAGAAATACCATTAAATCCTTCAGAAATCCAATTAAATCCATTAGAAATCCCAGTAAATCCACCAGAAATCCCATTAAATCTCATTAAAATCCCATTAAATCCCCATTAAATCCCTCAGAAATCCCATTAAATCTCATTAAAATCCCATTAAATCTCATTGAAATCCCATTAAATCTCATTAAAATCCCATTAAATCCACCAGAAACCCAATTAAATCTCATGAAAATCCCATTAAATCTCATGAAAATCTCATTAAATCCCATTAAAATCCCATTAAATCCCCCAGAAATCCCATTAAATCCACCAGAAATCCCATTAAATCTCATTAAATCCCCCAGAAATCCCATTAAATCTCATTAAAATCCCATTAAATCTCATTAAAATCCCATTAAATCCACCAGAAATCCCATTAAATCTCATTAAAATCCCATTAAATCTCATTAAAATCCCATTAAATCACCCAGAAATCCCATTAAATCTCATTAAAATCCCACTAAATACCCCAGAAATCCCATTAAATATCATTAAAACCCCATTAAATCTCATTAAAATCCCATGAAATCTCATTAAAATCCCATGAAATCTCATTAAAACCCCATGAACATCTAATTAAAATCACATTAAATCCACCAGAAACACCATTAAATCTCATTAAAATCCCATTAAATCCACAAGAAATCCCATTAAATCTCATTAAAATCACATTAAATCACCCAGAAATCACATTAAATCTCATTAAAATCCCATGAACATCTCATTAAAATCCCATTAAATCTACCAGAAATCCCATTAAATCTCATGAAAATCCCATTCAATCTCATTAAAATCCCATTAAATCTCATGAAAATCCCATTAAATCCACCAGAAATCCCATTAAATCTCATGAAAATCCCATTCAATCTCATTAAAATCCCATTAAATCTCATGAAAATCCCATTAAATCTCATTAAAATCCCACTAAATCCACCAGAAATCCCATTAAATCTCATTAAAATCCCATTAAATCTCATTAAAATCCCATTAAATCATCCAGAAATCCCATTAAATCTCATTGAAATCCCATTAAATCTCATTGAAATCACATTAAATCCACCAGAAATCCCATTAAATCTCATTAAAATCCCATGAAATCTCATTAAAATCCTATTAAATCCACCAGAAATCACATTAAATCTCATTAAAATCCCATTAAATCTCATTAAAATCACATTAAATCTCATTAAAATCCCACTAAATACCCCAGAAATCCCATTAAATATCATTAAAATCCCATTAAATCCACCAGAAATCCCATTAAATCTCATTAAAATCCCATTAAATCTCATTAAAATCCCATTAAATCCCACAGAAATCCCATTAAATCTCATTAAAATCCCATGAACATCTATCTCATTAAAATCCCATTAAATCTCATAAAATCCCATTAAATCCACCAGAAATCCCATTAAATCTCATGAAAATCCCATTAAATCTCATTAAAATCCTATTAAATCTCATTAAAATCCCATTAAATCACCCAGAAATCCCATTAAATCCCCCAGAAATCCCATTAAATCTCGTTAAAATCCCATTAAATCCACCAGAAATCCCATTAAATCTCATTCAATTCCAAAAAGCGTTCCCTCAAGGGATCGATGTCACCCGTGTCGGTTTTCGGCCGCACAATCTTGAGAACTGAATGTTGTAGAGAGGAGAAAGGCATCAGGCGGCTCAACAACTGTGACCACTGGCGAGGTGGATCTGGACGATCGTTGACCCCAAATCTGACTGCAGTTCGCCCCAGGTCCTCAAAGCCTTGCAAGGATGTATCTGCCAGAGCTGTGGACCTTGCGAAAACCCTTGCCCCAACAGAACAATCCACCTGGTCTGGAGGAAAGGCGAAGAGCTTGGGGTCCAAGCACAAGATTTCGCACAATTCCTGCAGCCCTTTAGAGCAGAGTTCATCGGCATAAGCCATTTTCCACGCTTGCAATGCTTCCATACCAGGAGCCAAATCATTCTCCATTGCTTGGTCAAAATCAGAGCACCAAGTGGCATGGCTGCGTGTCAAACGTTGCAGGAGAATCTCGGCACATTGCAGACGCACGCTGGGAGGATTGCTTACATGCAGGCCCGACAGCTGCACCCCTAAGCGGTGGGCTAAACCGCTTAGGGGTGGCCGTTTCCCGAAATGATCTCTTTCAGCATCCTCGACGCTGAGTCATCGAGGATGTCTTCTGACACTGCAGAGTAGTAGGCGGTCTGTGCATCAAGCCTGAATGACAGCACCCCGTCAATGACGTCCGAAATCAGCAGCTTCCCAGCTTTGTCAAACGAGACTTCGAGGGCTGCCCCACCAGACATACCTCTCAAGATGAGGGCTTCAATTTCCTTGTACATCTGGCAGCTTCTCGTGACTGTTGCCACGTTTGAACGCACAGGAAGGCCGTCTCCAAACCCAAACACGCAAACACTCTTCTGCGACTCTGTATTGGTGGTGAGCCTTCCTGGTGTGATGCCCAATGCGGCGATCAGGGCTTTTTGGGCTGTGAAGATAGCCAAGTCGCGTTCCCTGTCAACAAGCACTGGCTTCATCCTGAGCATTAAAATCCCATTAAATCTCATTAAAATCCCATTAAATCACCCAGAAATCCCATTAAATCTCATTAAAATCCCATTAAATCTCATTAAAATCCTATTAAATCCACCAGAAACCCAATTAAATCTCATGAAAATCCCATTAAATCTCATTAAAATCACATTAAATCTCATTAAAATCCCATTAAATCCCCCAGAAATCCCATTAAATCTCATTAAAATCCAATTTAAATCTCATTAAAATCCAATTAAACCTCATTAAAATCCCATTAAATCTCATTAAAATCCCATTAAATCACCCAGAAATCACATTAAATCTCATGAAAATCCCATTAATCCACCAGAAATCCCATTAAACATCATTAAAATCCTATTAAATCTCATTAAAATCCCATTAAATCTCATTAAAATCCCATTAAATCCCCCAGAAATCCCATTAAATCTCATTAAAATCCCATTAAATCTCATTAAAATCCCATTAAATCCACCAGAAATCCCATTAAATCTCATTAAAATCCCATTAAATCTCATTAAAATCCCATTAAATCCCCCAGAAATCCCATTAAATCTCATTAAAATCCTATTAAATCTCATTAAGTGGTTGTTAAACCCTCCTCATCCGACCCTTGGGACCGCTCCACGGCGCCTCAGCCTCCACAGCCTCCACAGTTTCCACAGCCTCCACGCCGCGCAGGGCGGCGATGCGCTCCAAGGACTGCGGTGCGGCGCTGGGTCAAAGGGCACGTATATAATAAGATAATGAGATCATTGAGGATGGATGGATAGCTTAGATTAAATCAATCAATTAATCAATCAATTTTAGATTGATCAATTGATTGATTGATTGATCGATTGATAGATAGGTTGAACAATGTCGACATCATAAAATATATGAGTACAACATATAATTATACTATATAAGACAATGGAACAATAATGAATACATATGAGAGACATGTTTGGTAATAAACACACATAATCACAATTATGACTAGACTATACGTGTATGAACACAACTATATATATATATATATATGTTCGTAAAACAGGAACACACGTATCATACATAAGAGAATATGTAAATACATTTATTGTATTATATAATATTGTATCATAGTATATTATATTGTATCATATTATATTATACTATATTATGATATGTTATACTATATTGTATTTTATTATATTATATTATGTTATGGTATGTTATGTTATACTATATTATATTATGTTGTAAAACAAATAACTATACTATATTATACTATACTATATCATTTTATATTGTATTAAATTATTATATTATATTATATCGCATGAGATTGCATTGTGGAAGAATAATTGGACATGGATACTTATATTCAGCAACTATGCGATTTGAAGTGTCTGAACATGGGGTAAATCCCCACATGTGGCCCACTTAAGTTTGGAATGATGATTCAGCAGTGGATTTAGTCATCTCTATTTTCAAACAAACCAAAATCTGAATGCTTTTCTGATGTTTTGACCAACAACTTTATGGCCACTAAAGCTGGACTTTGACAACTGTACATGCATTTGTCGTTAGGATTTTGGGGATTACACGTAAGAATGTGAGACCAATAGATGGAATGATTCATTGATGAGAGCAACTGATAGCAATTAGTTAGAACAACTCTTAACTATCTAAAAATAGTATGATACCACATAGTACAGCAACACATTTTGCATTGTTACTGTTTGTGACTCTTAGTCTTAGTTTGTGTTATTCAATAAGCTGCTTGGAGCTGCTGCTATTGGCCGCTTGTTGTTTTGGTTCAGCTTTTTGACGGAATGTTCGCTCACAAACCTTGCAACTCAACTTCGGAGAAGCTTTGGCAAAGCGAAATATAAGCACCGGACCTCTCTGTCTTGCGCTTTGGCAACAGAAACATTTTAACAATTTCACAAACAGCGTTATTTAATTTAGATACAATCTTGGTTTCCTCTCACCTACATAATGCTAACAAATGCCAAGCAGGAGTCCAATGACCACTGCTCAAAAAGCAAGCCGCCAGAAGCGACCGCAATGTGGAAGGCCCGGGAAGGCTAAAACGCAATACCAAAGAGGTGAGAACAATCATCGGAGCGCCAAGCTCCAAAAATACATGCCTATTCATTAAACCCATTTCAGACTCAAATGTTTTTAAATTCCAAGACTTGTTCGTTCGTGCCGATACCCAAAACTGTAGGCTGGAAATCACTTCACTTGTTTTTTTTTCGTATTGTGGCCCGTTGTTGAATCACCTGCTGAACATTAAACATGTCAGTTGAGATGTGAGCAGACCACCAACTGGATTTATACCCATAATCCCTTGGTTTTCACTTTGAAACAATTGGAACCACAATTAAAAAAAAAAAACGAAAACAAAAAACAACTATAGCTGGATTTTAATAGTCATGAAACAAAGCGAATGATCACTTTTTACATCATCATGCAGCATACCTGGAAAAAAACATGGACCGCTGGAAGTGAGCTATTCTTGGATTTACCACACTAAACTCATATGTGTATATAGCTGAAACAAAAAACAAAAAGCACTAAGTCTGTAAATGTAAACATATTATATCTTTATATAATTATATATATATATTATATGTATCCTTCTTAAACATATTTATACATACTGTATAATCCTTTCCCCCTATTACTAAACCCCTCCTAAATAATAAAAACTAGGGTCCATCTCTGGTTTTGGAAAATTTCAGGTTGGCCATTTTGACTTTCAATTGATCCCCTTTAGAAAACAAATTAAAAATAAAGCTACCATTTGTGGGTTTCGCACCCCTAATAACAAAACTAGTCAACCCTGGTGTGTTTATTATTAGGGTCCGTCCGATTTTTTTTTTTTTATTAAGTGTTTCAATTTATTAATAGGGTCCGCTTCGAAATCCAATTTTGGCAATATTCTAATTGCGTTATAAAAGGAAATTTAATTGATTTTGAAATCGAAACAAATATTTGTTTTTTTTATTAAGGGTTTAAATTTATTAATAGGGTCCGCTTCGAAATCTAATTGTTGGCAATATTTTAATTTCGTTATATAAGGAATTTTAATTGATTTTGACATCGAAACAAATAGTTTTTTTATTTAGGGTTTAAACTTAATAATAGGGTCCGCTTCGAAATCAAATTTTTGGCAATATCTTAATTGCGTTATATTAGGAAATTTAATTGATTTTAAAATCGAAACACCTATTTTTTTTATTAATTGTTTCAATTTATTAATAGGGTCCGCTTCGAAGTCAAATTTTTGGCAATATCTTAATTGCGTTATATCAGGAAATTAATTGATTTTAAAATCGAAACACATAGTTTTTTTATTAATTGTTTCAATTTATTAATAGGGTCCGCTTCGAAATCCAATTTTTGGCAATATTTTAATTTCGTTAAATAAAGAAATTTAATTGATTTTGAAATCGAAACAAATAGTTTTTTTATTTAGGGTTTAAATTTACTATTAGGGTTTCCTAATAATAAATATCACCCTAATAATAAAAACTACCTGAGGTGTTTATTATTTGGGGGGGTTAGTATTAGGGGGAAGGGATTATATAGGTACATACCTTCATAAATACACACTCAAACAACATTTTTCTGGAAAAAAACAAAACAAGATGTATGCAAACATATGGGTATGTCTGAAAATGAGGTATACCCCCAATTATAGCCATTTAGTAGGGATAATGATCATTAACCATTGGGTGTAGGGGTACACTATTTTCAGACAAACCCATATGCACACATGATATAGGCAAATCACCGGACTTGGCCGTCACGGCCCGTCACTATGCGCAATGCACTCAGCACTGCTGCTTGTGCTTTAGGCCGCCCCTGCCACTGCTTGCTTCTGCCTGGGGGCAATGCAGCATCCATCCGTCATAAACGAGGATTCACATGTTAATCCAACATGGTTTAGGCACAAAAAATGTGGCTCTAAATAGTGAATGGTGTAAAATCCGTGATAGCACGTGTTACATGCGTGTAATATCTATCTATCCATCTATCTGATATTTTCCATCTTTCTATCTATATATGTATGCAAGCATTCATGTATGTGTGTGTCTGTGCGTATTTATTGCGTTTGTTAGATGGGTCTTGAAACCAACTTAAACTTTGAACTGAGGTTTCCTGCATTGCAGAATCCCCAAGGTGGCCAACATTTCAGATCAATAAAAAAACGTCCATGCTTAATAAAAAGACAAATACTTCTTCAAAAACTGAGCTGACATGACCCCATCCCCAGTTCATCACAGAGTATCCCACTTCAAATCCCCAACCCGCTGCTGTTTTAACTCGTAGCCCGGGCCTGTGTTTTCGCGCCTCCACTTTGACTCGTTCAGGCACCCACTTGTCTGTCCTTGCCTACTGTAGGTCTGGTTGGTGATTGCAACCCCCTTTATGAATTAATGTCAATGGGGATCATCATACCAGGCAGGATGGAACCAGTGATTTTTCTGGATCATTAGTGCAGTTGTGAACCATCCCATTTCATGTCCATAAAAATTCGCTGAACATTCGACATACCATGGACTCATAATGTAGTATGCTCATGTGAGGTATTTAACCAGCAAACTATAAGTATCCAGAAATATTGGCTGGGTTCGTTGGCTTTCGGTAAAAGTGCCAGAAAACATGGCAGTAGTAGCCCAAACAATGTGCACATAATCAACAGCTGTGATTCAAAAAAATATCAGGTGGTGCCCCATTGCTAGCTAGTTTACAAGGCTAGAGACCATTTACATGTAATTCATGGGGCTTATAAACCCAAGAAACAAAACTGAATGGGGGTAGCACCAAATAAACCGTTTCCCGGTCCAATTTTTGTCTCGCCGGGTGACCAGCCAGGCACCGGCGAAGTGCCTCAACCATTGGATTTTGGGGGTTTTAGTGCCTAAAAATCAAACCCAAATACGAACTGAACATCTACGAACTATGATGAACTGAAATATCACTATTCACTTGAGATTAAGCGTAAACATGAATATCACTTATGGACTATGAGTCATATCAACAAGTGACTACTTCTGATCACTCACTCTAACCGCTAACCCGCCCCCGAAGTTGGTAAAGGGCTATATAAGCTCTTGATGATTGGCGAAGGTACCGTTTTACAAGCTGATTATGACCCTGTTGAGGGAACCCCCTAATTCATCAACCACTGTGTATTGATCCGGGTTTGACATTATATCACCATTGGACCATGGTCCTTGGTTGCAAAAAAACAACTCCCGTCCTTGGTGCGAAAGTGATGACCAGCTTGCTCCAGATGCAAAAAACCGAATATGTATCTCTCTCTCTCTATATATATATATGTGGGTGTTGATCAAAATGCACATGCCCTTTTCATAATTCTTAGACTTGCATATATTTTGATCCGCTCCCATATATAGAATATATATATAACTATATATTTATATAGTTATAAATTTGGTACATATACACCAAACCGATAATCACATGCCTCTGTCGCACCCAAACATGGATTAGATGCTCTACCCATGGGAAATTCTGGAGTGGAGCCGGACTCCCACAGCCACTGTGGCTGCCTCCTGTCATAACCCTGCTTAGCCTAGTCATACAGCAAGTCATACACGTGGTACATTATTATACAGTATATATATATATGGTACTAATATATATATATTATATATATACTATGGAGTATCACATTCAAGTACTATGGATTAAATTCAAAAGGCTGTGGCCAATGACCATTCTGTCTGCGCCCAAAAAAATCATCTTATCGAATCAATGGATCAATGGACCAACTCTATCATCACCATGCGACATGCAAAAGGCACCCCATTAAAGATAGAACAGTTGGATTTATCCTGATTTATAGTATGATAAACAACATACAGTATGATAAACATTGATAAACCATGTTGGATTTTACTGTTCTGAACTTTTTCTGGATTACTATAAGTCAGTGATATATCCGCCTAATATGTTCCTGATCATGGACCAATGTCAAGCTAATAACAACATACATACAGTATGATAAACATTGATAAACCATTGATATCCCAATCAAGTATCTGCATGAGAAGGGACCAAACCTCAGGGTCACATATCGCTTTCTACAGTTTGCGACACATTTTCAACCACAGGACCTCTCATGATCCTCTCATGTCAAGGTTTCGGCATGGACTTGTTAGGTCTTTTATCATATTTTGTTGGTTGAGTCACTGCTACAGTAATCTGGCCAGGGCTGCTTTCAATCCTAAACCTTGAGTAGGTCTGTCTTCGGATCACTATCATCCCAAGTCGAAAACAAAAAACAAACATCATATTGTATAATATAGCCAATAGGTATACGTTAACCTATTATTGTAATACATTATATAGATTTATATAGTATATAAAAATCATAAATAAATAAATATATACATTCACAATGACAAATCCCATCCTAGTTTTGTCTGCGCACCTGCGATGCACCACAAAAACCACACCGTCATCCACACAAAGGTCTCCTCGATGGCCTGCAAGTGCAGCAGCCCCCAAGTTCAATAGGCTTCCGAAGTAACGGATAAACTAGGTCTATTTAACCAAGAAAATCAGGACATCATCTATAAATGATAGGTAAATTTAAATGATAGAGAAAAATCACTATATGATACGTAAAGGTAATTTGGTGCGTAGGCTAATATGGCTAAGTGTTGGATCTGTGGTTAACTGAGGGGGCCTTGTAAGATGACTGAAATGGTCATGGATTTCAGGGACCAGTTTGACCCACGCATTGCTGGTCATTTTGAGAGTGAAATATCCAATTCCGACCAGATTAGCTGGGGTTCTATTCTTGATGAACCTCAACATACGCAAACTGCGTCCTCCCAGTCACAAGTTGGTTTACACCATCGTGTAATCCATTTAATTATATATATGTATATATTATGCATGTATATATATATATATATATATATATTATGTATATATATATATTATGTGTATATATATATTATGTGTATATATATATATTATGTGTATATATAATATGTGTGTATATTATGTATATAAATATAATGTATATATATATATACAATGTCTATATATCTTTACATAATATCTAAAATCTTAGTGATTCTAATATGTCTTTAAACAACCCCCCTCAACTGTGGGTTTGAATCCATCTGAGGCGGTCAAATTCCTTCATCTTTCTTTGCGGACTTTGATCAGGGATGCTTCACTTCACTTTTTTGCAGTTGACATCCTGGCTTGAACCCTGTAAATTCTGTCAGCAAAGTAGTCACTTTCAGTTGCTGAGTTTCAAAAGTTCAATAAACCACGAATGGAGTGGAACCTAAGTGGCTGTAGAATGTAGAACCCATTTTTGGATATTTTTGGATGTTCCGAAAATCGAGGCATCCCAAAACATTCAAGTTTGTTTTTTTGGGACGCCAATGGTTTGGGGTCCCACAAGTTTGAGCAAAAAAAACACGTACCAATCAAGCATCTATTATATATTGATCATCCTCTCACTATGTTGTGGGGAAGAAGACTTGTCCAGGATAGAAATAGCTTCTGCAGCACTTTCAGTTTGAATCTATGCGAATCTGGTATATCCTTTGTTCCTTCTGTTCTTTCCTGTTCAAATTTCCAACTGGTACCCTTTATGATCACACAACTTCTTGTTCCTCCAGGAACTTCGTTTTATTTTTGAAGGAGCTTGGTGTCAGCCAACATGAATTTTCAACCTCATTCATACAAGGTGGCGCCCCACAGTTGCAAGTTGCTTGAGAAGAACCCAGCTATAAATATGTCCACCAGAAAACATACTTATCTGAATTTAATTAGTTGTAGACCAAATTCCCAATCTAGATGGAACTTTGTTCAGGTTACAACCAATTTGTGCAGACGAGGGATCCGCCTTCCCCATGTGGGTTCTGAGTCTGAATTATCCACCCTTAAAATGGACAATTGTTTTTCAAGGTCCCAAAAATTCTAGCTGATTATGGTTCGGTTTATGACCATTGATCCGCAAAAATGGAAGATTTCAAGGTTCTCCCAAGTCGTGCTCATGCTGAGTTCCAACTGCCACTCGACCTGAACCCAGGTCCCACGCCTGAACCCCCAGGACAAATCCGGAGACCAGCGCGATGATACCGTTCAGCAAGCAATCCTCCTGACCAATCCTGGCTGGGAAATCACCGATGAAAGGTTTTACTAGGAAAATCCTCTATAAATGTCGCCGCCGTCCCTTTCCACATTTGATTACTGGAGGAGTTTTGACGGCATTAAAAAAACAACAACAAAAACATATAGTACAAAGTCCCAGTTTCATTTTTAAGACTGCGAAACTGAGGCTCTAGGTACATGATACCCTATTGTTGATTAAAAAAATAACATCCAGAAATTCCTGCACATTTGTAGGAAAACCATCCGCTAATTGCCACCAATTGGTGGTGATGCATTCTTGCTTGGAAGGTGAACAATTCAAAAAAGAAACAACAAAACACGTGTATGTATATATATATATATATATATATGTTTGTAAGATCGCAACTTCTGCCTTCCTTTCCAAAGATTGAGACTGATATAACTGTGCGGGCGGAACACATCATTTCATAAAACCGAAAAAATATCACCGGAGGTATTGGATGGTGCTCGGCTGTTGATCTGACATGCCTACCTAGGTTTCCTACCTAAAATGAGTTCATGAGGCCACCACTTTCATGAAATTTACATCACATGGAACCTGAAAAATGTTGTTTCTGTATCCTATCATACAACAGACCATTCCAAAATGGAAATTATTCTTGTTGATTCCATGTTAAGCTTTAGGGCGCGCGAACCACCTATCTTTTCCCCACTTGTCCCAGATTGTTCATCCCCCCTATTTCAGTCGAACAAAAAAACACCTCTTCATACCATCCCCATGCAATGCATGGTCTCTATTTGTACACTTTACTATGGTGAGGTATTTATATATATATAATTACAGCTGGATAAACCACACTAATTCACTAATTAACCTAGATGTGGTAATTTTGGGACCGTGACGAATACTAACCATGGTTTGTGTCCTGATATCGCAGTGAGGTCCTTGTTCATTAATTTACCGCCAGATGAACCTAGTTTGGGATAATTCTGAAATAGACTATCATGCTGTGACAGCCTTGTCATCATGTAAACCGGTGATCATTGTCCACTAATACCCCCAATATGTATATATACATATATGCATATATATATATATATCTATCTATATTATATAGATAGAGAGAGAGAGAGAAACCCCGCCAAAGATATAGAAGTCATTGCTCGTTCTTTTGGGGTTTCTGTAAATATATTAATTATTTACATATAAATTATCGGCCACAATATCATATTACTACACAAATTTTGTAGGTGATTTTAATCTATTCCAAAGTTAAATATGGAGAACGCCATATAAATATATATATATATATAAATATATGTATATATATATATGTATATGTATCTTAAACATATTATGTTGCATATTCTATATATTATACTATTTCATATATATATATATGTATTATATCTTGAATTATACTCTATTATATTGTATAAATACATATATGTTGAAACTCCCAACCACTAATAACCACTCCATGGGCGAGGTGCAGGACAAAGCCCAGGATCAGCTGCACCAATGCACACATGCCCTGGAAGCAGGTAATGACCTCAGTGGGAAGAAAAAGTCTGACAATCACTGGGAAATCCTTCCTGTTGACATCAAAATGGCTGGTATATGTTGGTAAAATCGTGGTGGAGCCATGATTATAGTTGGATGTTCATGCCTCCATGGTGATAACTAAGTACTATGGTCATAACTATGTAGAACTGGACTCATAGTGATATAGCATGAGGTAGCCATGTATATATCCATGACTCTTAGTGATGTTCATAGATTTGGACCCCCAAGTTATCCAAGTCTTTTTGGGAATGCAGCACGGCCTGACACTTTGCGTTTTTCTCTCTACCAGGGAAAGGTCATGTTGACTGTGGGTCTAAAGCGATTGACATCCCCAAGCTGCATTGCTTCTATCATAAACTGGCCATCCCCTGCAATCATTCAATCTGGCAACACTGTTGCGATGGGGTGCCAGGGTTTTACTGTAAAAGCTCGGTGGATTTTCTAGTTCCAACATCTCTCAGCCAACTTTTTCTGAATTGAGATGTCAGATTGTACAGAAAGCAATCTGAACACCTACTATCCCACAAATATAGGTTACATATATTACAAATAAGCAGTACTGCATTTTCGCGCCCAAGTTGAAAACAAACCCATCCAAAAAGGGATATCAATTGATATCAAATTGCCCCAAGAGGCAATAATTCCAAGGTGGAGTCGAGGTGATGCAGCAACAGGAGAGCTTGCTAGCTTGTTCAACACTTTGAACATACCAAACCAACAGCCTTTGTCTGTTTCTCCCTCGTTCATTTGATTAAGCAAGTACTTGAGAAAATCTGTTGTAAATGACTTACCATGACGTCCAAAATCCGATATATATATGTATATAAGTATCATTATTATAATTATTATGTTTATATCATATACGGTAACTACATTTAAATATACGGACTTCTAAATATACAAACTGGTATCTTAGACTACCTCCGGGAAGGTTTTCCTTGGCCCGCCCGGCCATTTAAACATTCATACGGAATCCGATTCATTTAAACATGCGGTAACTACATTTAAATATACGAACTGGTATTTCATACTACCTCCGGGGCCTTGCGGTCTGGCCCGCCCTCCACATATTTAAATGTCGTTACCGTATATATATATAATTATATATTATATATTTACATACTATTTAATATATTTGGGCCATCAAATTCGCGCTTCCAAACACCATTGATGATCATGGATTTCCTGCAAGTTTCACTGCTGAAAATCTCCGCAAAAAACAAAAAAATGTCTGGGCGAATTCAAAATATCCCGTGTTGGATTAAACTTCCAGTTTCTTATGTTTCTTTGCCTCATACGTTTGTATTTTGGATGATCTCATATTATATCCCAAAAATGTCTTGAATCAGTTAAATCCATGCGCCTTCGGATCTCTTTGGACACCCACCCACCAAAACATACCAAACCCAGGCGGTTCTTCTTCGTCTCCAAGCCGCCATGTTCTTCAGGATGTCGCAGAGAAAACCCGCTCGACTTGGTACTGGATTTCCTGGAACCACCCCGGATCCTTCCGTGGAACAACTGGGGGGAACCTTGCAAAGTGCACTGATCCTTCCTCTGGACATTTTTGACAAAAAACATGGATGCATCATGTAACCGGTTTGAAACCCTGACGCCTGTGGATGAGATACTTGCCCACATTGCTGGGTGATGTTGATGGTGGTGGTTGCCCGGACGGTCTGGAATATGGGTGGATGATGAATGAATAACAAAATCCATGGAAAACTTTTACCGTTCCTTCCAGTTTATTGCCTTTCCGATGTGAGTGTGGCGCGAAACACAAACAGAATCAGATCACCCAACATGTTTGTCAAATCCGCATTAAGAGCCAGCAAGTCTGCAAAAAAATATCGGCAAGCAACCAAAAAATCTTACAAGAGCGGGTTCGGGATTTCTTAAGGGTTGTATTCCGCAGTTTCAGTTCCCATCTTCATCGCGAATCTCCTGCATTTCTATGACTACTACATCGTCAACACCCATGAATATGGTTAGTTTGTAGGTGGCGTTCATCTTTCCCCATGTAAATCAACAAGAGAAGTCCATGAGTCTTCCCTTCACCAAGGTCTACTGTACTCATTGAGACGCGACCTGGGACAGCCTCAAATTGGGACCAGGAGGCGAAGCATGGAGATACATCCGCAGCTGAAGTCCAGCAGTCGCAAGATCAAAACAACCTGGTGACAGCAATGGTTGGTGGTTTAATGATCTTAAATGTGATAAAACATGATAAAGCTCATAGTAAACATATTTCCGCGGCAGTACTCCCAACATGTGGAAAATTGGGCACTTTGGTAAATTTATTGTGGGGTATACCACATTCATCCACTTGGGGCTTAGTGATGACTGAGCCACGGTTACCTGTGGGTTTGTGCCGTGTGCCCGCTTGGTATGTTTCACTTTTGCCGGGCAAGTGAAGGATATCAAGTTCAGGTGTCCAGTCAATTTGGGATCATTGCCTCGCTTTGTGAAGCTTCAAAGCTGTTTGACAAACACACGTCTGGAACCACCACACCAGTTTGCCAGTTTACCTAAAAGTGGCATGACTCATTTTTCCCAACAGAGCAGTGATAATCCAGATTATATAACCAAGGGGTAAAATGAGTCCTTGGGATTTTCTGTCTTGTGGTGATATTCCCATTCCCCTCGGGAAAAAAATACTTTACTTCGAGCGATCCCCACTATGGCATTTCAAGGCATCTATTCTGACATACTTTCTGTCAATCATCATACAAGTCCACCCTCTCACAAAAGAAACAGTGCATGGTATGCTATGGTTTTAAAGCGAACCAACAAGGAACAGGAAGTGGTTGGCCTCCCATTGCCATTGCCCGGCGGCCACTTCAGGGAGCGATGCAGATAGGTCCGCAATGCATCACTTTGGTCAAGGGATGTCCGAGTGCCCACTGAGAGCTGGCACAGGTCCGCCAGTGCCCACTGAGATCTGGCGCTTGCAGTTGGGTCTGGCAATGATCTGGTGGCCGCAGTTGGGGCGCAGCAGTGCCCACAGAAATCTGGCGCTCACGGTTGAGGTCCGCAGTGCCGAGTAAGATCTTGAGAGTTGACACAGAGGCGGAGTCCGAGGCGGACGAGGTCGATGAAAAGGCAGGCGCTCTGATAAAATCTAGAGACGATCACCTGGCAGGTGGGGAACAAGACATTCTTGGTAGTTCCTTGCCTTTTTGGGGGCTTGTCGGTAAATGGTGAACCCCAAATGGCTTCTCATCATGTGCACTATGAATATGATATATAAGTGCCACTTTTATGTTGTATACAATATTTTTTAACAAATCGTTTGCTATATCTATATATATATGCACATATATATCCCTATCATATTCCATTATGTCCCCAATTATATCCCATTACTCCATTACTCTTGCTGATGCTTAAAGACCGTTTTCAGACAGACCCATATCATATATGAATAAGTTGGTTATATCATTCCCATTAAATATATCCATGAATATCCCATCCATTTCCTATGTATATCCGATTCGATGACCATTGGAATCACTACTGTATCACTAGTATATACATCCTTATTAATGTTAGCAAAAGAACATTATACCATCCCCAATTTTACCATGAGTGGGTTGGGTTGTACAAAGCATCAAAATGCAGGTGGTTTATTATTGTTTTACTAACATTGCACCCCATTATCAGACCCCGTGGTCGTTGATTCATCACTTCTCTGCCAAGGAACCAAGGAGACAACCCAGGCACTGCTCTCACAGGTGGAATCGACCAAATGTCTTACCTCGTCGGCCGAATTCGGAGGTGAATCTTGAAGTTTAAGCAGCAAAAATCAGGGGTGAAGCATCAAACATGGTGGTAAACCACAAGATTGGTGGGTCAAATATGCCATAATTTTTAGCATCTGGTATACGCATACGCGGCAGTCCGATATGTTCCATGTGTGGTTTACCTACGTGACTGGGCCATGTTTGTTGTGTTGGTGGATATTCCGTGGAGCATCCTCTGAATGTCAACCTCACAACTCATAGGCGGTGCCCCTGTTAGGTGATTTGGGAGCCTAACCGAGCCAACGGAGGAGCACATATCGAACTCAGTGGTGGGCACCAGCTTGAACCAATCGAATGCCAACCTCACAACTTAGAATGAATAGTTTTGATCATGAGGTTGGCAAAAAAGAAGATGAATGATGGCTTTGCGACATAGTTTGTGGGTGGTATTGATCAGGGGCTGACTTTACTCGTTGATGAACCCAGTTTTTTCCCTGGTGACGCTGGGTATGCCCCCCAACGTCACCAAGTGGGCTTCTCACACTACATAGTCACCTTGCCTTAATACTCAGCACTATAGTTGTGGAGGTTATAAACATGTCAATAAACATGCGGAGTGATCTCTAGATTTATATATCACAGGATTGCCGGTCCACACACAGGGGCTCCCAAGATAGGTATTGGGTTGGTTTAGACATACTAATCAACATCGCGCAATGTGTATATGTATATATATATATATATTTATTTTATTTATTCATTTAATTAATTAATTAATTAGTTTATTATTTATTAACTTGGCCCCCACTCTGTACCCAATGCCTTTTATTCTTGTGACACTTGTCAACCATCACCCCTCGAATTTGCCGTCTCGTCAAGAAACCACGAGGGATGCAATGAAAGCACCTGTGGCTATAAACAGTGCGATGCCAGCATCCTCATGGTACAAAGTCGCCAACGCGGCTGGGTGGGACCAAGGGTCATCATCTATTCATGGTGAAGCAGGAAGATATTTGTTTCAATAGCAAGGCGAAGCATGTATCTATATGTTAAGTCAATGTGTATGGATATAATGATTCATATGTTACAGAATCTTACATAGACTGTTTTGGGACAACGACCCCATGCCGCTAACATCTCAAGACTTACAGACCTGTTGAATCATTGGAAACCTTTTCCCCAGGCAGAACCCAAGGCCACGTCTGCTGGTGGGACCCCCAAGCTCGATTTCTGTTGGTAAAGAACTGGTGGATCAAAATTGTTGATCTATGGGGCTTTCCTAAAATGGGGGTACCCCAAATCATCCAAGTCATTCGACCATTCCAGTATTGAAACCCAGTGGGAGCCCCCCTCTTTTAAGAACCCCTCCATATATCTACGTTTGAGTGGGCGAACAGAATCAAACTTAGGATGTACCAATTGCAGGTCATGAACCTCCCTGATGTCGCATGGTGACTCCAAACTTCAGTTGCAGATTGGTCTCTGATATTGAACTGTTGTGGTTCCCCGATGGAACTTCGTTCTCTTTCTGTGCGGAAGGGTGAATGGTGTTTATTTGCTGACCACTACTTTGCTTCACAATGTTATGAACCAAACTGGCAAATATTTGCGCTGGCAGTCTAGCAGGTTTTGTTGTGCTTTAGTTTTTTTAAGTTCAGCATATGTGTTTTCAAACTCTGAATCCTGAGTCAGATAACCGTCCAACTCTGAGAAATATGGTGGGGTTTGGTATATGCAAACCAGCGCACTGCGCACTTACTTCCCCGTCTTCCACAATGTTCCCCATCTTTCCCCAACCTCCCCAATTTCCCCAAGTGTTTTGTGGTTCTTCCAAAATAGGTTGAAATTTACATGGGAAAACCCAAAAATCTCCACAAAAGTTGCCAGAGAGTCCAAGGTGTAGTAAGCATTCACAGCCTCGTGAAGCCAACCAGGCGGGACTAACCCTGCCTGAAAACTGGGTAAGTGTGATTGAAAACCATGGTAAGTAGCATGAATTACCGAAAATGTATTGTCAAAACCGTGCTTTTCATGTTTTCGTATGGCTTGGAATGCAGGAGAAATTGCCACTGAAATGGGCATAAGTCAAATTTGAAGACACAAGATCCATTTTGTTGGTACAAGGTGATGCCCTCCGCCAGTTACAATTTGATTTATAACCCTCATTCAATACAGAAAATAATATATATATATATATATTAATAATCAAAGTCCCTACTTATTGGGGTTATAATTACTTTACTTCGTGTGATCCTCACCATGACATTTATACATGTTCTTACTGGCACATCTTCTGGCATTCTATCTGACATATCTTCTGACATTCTATTTGGCATTCTATCTGGCATATTCTGGCATATGATCTGGCATATCTTCTGGCATATCTTCTGGCATTCTATCTGGCAAATCTTCTGGCATTCTATCTGGCATATCTTCTGGCATTCTATCTGACATATCTTCTGGCATTCTATCTGGCATATCTTCTGGCATATATTCTGACATATCTTCTGGCATTCTATCTGGCATTCTATCTGGCATATCTTCTGGAATATCTTCTGGCATATCTATCTGGCATATCTTCTGGCATATTTTCTGGCATTCTACCTGGCAAATCTTCTGGCACTCTATCTGACATTTTATCTTCCTACATGAGGTCCGGCAGGGAACACTTGGCGTGGATACTCGCGGTTGAGGTCCGGCAGGGAACACTGGGCGTGGATGGTCGTGGTTGAGGTCCGGCAGGGAACACTGGGCGGGGATGGTCGTGGTTGAGGTCCGGCAGGGAACACTGGGCGTGGATACTCGCGGTTGAGGTCCGGCAGGGAACACTGGGCGGGGATGGTCGTGGTTGAGGTCCGGCAGGGCACACTGAGCGTGGATGGTCGTGGTTGAGGTCCGGCAGGGAGCAGGAGGAGAGGAGACGAGGAGAGGAGACGAGGAGAGGAGAGGAGAAGAGAGGAGAGGAGGAGGAGGAGAAGGAGGACGAGAAGGAGGAGGAGGAGGAGGACGAGGAGGAAGCAACTGACATAAAATCTAACAACCCTCACCTGGCAGGTGGGGAAAAACAAACCTAGCCAACCATGAGGCACCACCTTGTAATTACCTAGTTCCCAAACAATGTTTGGCATACCTGAATCTCATAAGAGTGGGGTCATTACCCTGCTGATGTGGGTCATCTGGCTGAGTTAAAACCCCTGGCCATTCTCAAAAGTGGTTCATAGACACGAGCAGCCTTCATGGAAGGATCTTTTCAAATTAGGACACTGGGACACCTTGTACGCGCACAGATATGTATATATATATATATGTAAATAATTCAATACATATCTAGATAACTATGTATCTATACATGAGCAGGGATCACGGGATCACCACTCCCCGAAGCCAGATGGTTCCCCTCTCCCCCCCTGTGGGTTGGGGGGGTTCCCAGCAATAACAGTCCTACATGGGCAATGTTTGTGCAGTTTTAAGTGGTTGATGTCCAGTTTATAGGGAGTGTATAGAGAGCATTGAGGGAGTTTACAGGGAGTATATACGTATATAGTATATGGGCACCCTATGCAATGAGTCGCATATAGGTACACTATGACACATGTGTAGGCAATATATGCAGGGTGTATGGAATATATAGGCAGCAACGGCGCAGTGTATATACTACACAACCTTGAAAAAATAGTTGCGCATTTATATGTAAGTAGTATATATATATATGTATATATGTATGAATCTATATGTATAAATGCAAAATAAAAAACACACGCAAATCTAAATATATGTACATGTAAATGTGCAAAAAAAATCATTTGGATATGCAATTATACAAATGATGTGTTTATATGTGTCTCTCTATAATTTATGTGTATGTATGTATGAATATATTTATATATATGTGCAGCATATGGATATGGATATGTATGTGCATATTGAAACATATACATGTACACATATACATATGTATATGTAAATATATGTATGTAAATACACATATGTGTACATATATGTATGTGTACACATATATATATATATTACGTACGTATTATGTGTATTTGCGTTGTTGAAAAGAACATACTGCATAAACCCATAAATTACAAAAAATATATATATATATAGGCATGCAGATGTAAGCTTTGAGCAAAAAATCTATAGGTAGCAAGTATGTAGCATAAAGACATACAATGAGTGGCAAGCCATGTGTAAGGAAAGCTGTAGGCAGTATTTAGGATATGGCAGTGTTTAGTAAATAGGGTGTCAGGAGTACATGTGTATATAAATATATATTTATGTTTGTTTGTATATCTTTGCAGGTATGTATCTATTATTTTGTATATACGGGAATGTATATATATATATACGTATCGACATGTGTCAATGCCTAGATAGGTAAATGTCTTGAAACCTACATGTCTAGATATTTAAATGTATGTATATATGAAAAATGTGTCTATGGATATGTTTACATGTAATCATATACATGTATATGTATACACATATGTAAACCAATTTTCTTTATATGGGAACACGCATATTGCATATGTATATATGTATACATAAATATACGACTGTAAATATACATATTTTTAAATATGCGAACAAGTATGTACTTGTATTTGTTTATGTATATGATATGTCAAAATAAAAGCATGTATATCAAACAACATGTCTATGTATGCATTTCACTGCCTATATATATGTAAAGATAGGTTTTTGTAAACATATATATATATATATAGAGATATGTGCGTATTTAATATGTATATATATATGTGTATTTGTATATGCACACGTATTTGTGGGTACATACTGCATGCAAGCGTAAGGGATATAGGATAATATGTGTATATTTTGGTATGCATAGGTACGCTTTGAGTGTATATATATATATACAAATATATAAAAATATATAATCTGCAAACAATGAGCGGTAAATCAGGTGTGAGGTATGCTACGGGTAGCACATAAACAGGTTTTGGGTAGAAATATACAGCTAGACAGGATCCAGTGGCAAGGTTGTGGCTTTCAAATGCTGCAAATAACATACAAATGGGAGGCTGCCTCCCAAATGCTGTATATAGCCTACAATACGATTGGGAGGCGGTGCCTCCCAAATGCTGCAGATAGCGTGCAAATGCAAGGTTTCGAGGGGTGGGGGGGAAATGTAAATATAAATAAATAAATAAATATATATATATATATATAATCCCCCTTCGGGAAGCAGGGGGTACGTGGGAGACCCTGATTTTATAGTGCATAAAACGGGGGTACCCAGCCCCCCCCCCCCCGGGGCACCTCTAAAAAATCAAAAAAACACCCATACCACCATGATTAATGATCTATAAAATCAAAAAATATATAAACCCACAAAAAACACCCAGAAAACACGATTGTCTATAAAATCAGGGTCACCAACGTACCGTTGGACAGCCTTTTAAGGCAACATAACAGGTCTATAAAATCAAAAGTTCACTGACCCCCACTTTGAGGACTCAGTTTCTGGATCCAAAAGACGCAAATGTTGGAGGGTAACCTTTTGATTTTATAGTGGTTATTGTTGTCCCTTTACTTTTTGATTTTATAGATCTGTTCCCAGATTATAGTCTTATTATGTCTTAGTATGTCTTAGTTCTATGATGTTCTATGATGTTCTATGATGTTCTATGATGTTCTATGATGTTCTATGTAGTTCAAGAGTCTCTCACCAAGGTATCCCCTTGCATATTTGGGGGGAACCCTGGAGCCCCTGATTTTATAGCTATAATTTGGTGGGGCACAGCCCCCCCAATAACCCTGCCATCTCTATAAAATCAAAGTGTCCAACAGGGATGTACAAAGCTATAAAATCTAACAAGTATAGGCTGCCCCCCAATACTGCAAAATGCCTATAAAATCAGGACATAGCCTTGAACATTTTCCCTTTTAAAGAAAAAACATGAATCCCAAAGATCACTATAAAATTCAGGACTGGGTTACCTCATTTTGATGGCAGCTCTCTCATAGATTGTGAGCCGTATTTTTTTGGGGGCTACCAACCATGATTTTATAGCAGAGAGATCCCTTGTGAATTTCAAGGGTCTCCCAGAGACCGCCATTTTATAGAGATACCTGGTTTCCACTATAAGGGTACGTTCTGGGATTCTTTCTAAATCCAGGATAAAAATCAGATTGCAAGAAATACGACTCTATAAAATCAAGAAACAAAAAATTGCCACATGAATACACATGCCTGTTTGTAACCACCAAAGTTCCCTATAAAATCTAGATGCAGGGTGCAGGTTTTTTCCTTAAAGGTCATCCGCCTAGTCCAATACAAAATCAGGATCTCCAAAATGGTGGCTTTACAAAGCCTGTTGAAACATGTGCCTGGTCTCTGATGTTATAGTTATAGTGGAACTGTTTGAAAGAGATGTCAATACAAGCTGGACCGGGCCTTTGATTTTATAGAAAGGTTTCTTTTGGGATGGTTGTGGCTTGGGATACCATCAATTTCCATAGTTTGCTGAATGAATCAGGTTCAATTAAATGAAAACAAATACCAGAACTTGGAAAACAATTGCCATTTTGGGACACTTTTTTGAACTTTTTTGGCACCGGGATTGTTGAAGCAAAACTTCCAGATGAAATCGAAAAATTAGTCACTGGTCCCTATTCGGGGGCCCTTCAAACATGAGTTATCAGTTATCCATTTCGGAGTGCTGTTGCGCCTCAGTATATGGAAAACTTTATATAAAGATGTTGGAGGCGAGTAATGACCCAATTTTGGAATTTAGCGCGGCGGGAGGTTACACTTTTAATTTTAAAGAGAGAGAGTGAGAGAGAGAGAGAGAGAGATTTGGTCCATATTGACGCCGACTACACGCACTAAGTACCCCCAATGATTTCTGAACTATCTGTGGTAAGGCAACGTGAACACGCGCAGTGCTCAAGCAAAAACTCTCTATAAAATCGACAAATGAGTCTCTATTTGGGCGTCCTTCCAACCTGAACTGTCCATTTTGGAGTCCTGCGGTCCGCGGTGCCTTGCGGTATAGAAAGTGGCAAGGATGTTTTTGGGGCACGTACTGACCAAATTTTGGAGTTTAGAGGGCCAGGAGGATGTAAAGAGTCCATTTTCTGGAACAGTTTGAATCTTTTGGATTTTATAGAGGCAATGGCTCCATATTGAAGCCGAGTACATGCACCAAGTACCCCTACTGATTTCCGAATCATCCCCAATCCGTCCCAATTTCAAGCTGCTGAAAGGCAGCGTCAACACGCGCAGTTCTCAAGCACAACCTCTCTATAAAATCGTCAAGTTAGTCGCTACCGGGGGTCCTTTCAAACCTGAACTGTCCATTTTGGAGTCCTGCTGTGCCTCACGATATGGAAAGGGGCAAGGATGTTTACTGACCAAATTTTTGAGTTTAGAGCTCAAGGAGGCGGGAAGCATATGAACAGAGTCCAGTTTCTGGAACTTTTTGAACCTTTTTGATTTTATAAAGACAATGGGTCCACATTGAAGCCGAGTACATGCACGTACCCCCACTGATTTCCGAATCATCCCCAATCCGTCCCAATTTCAAGCTATGGAAATGGAAAAGCAACGTCAACACGCGCAGTGCTCAAGCAAAACCTCTCTATTAAATCAAAAAATCTTTGTTTGGGGGTCCTTCAAGCCTGAACTGTCCATTTTGGAGTCCTGCTGTGCCTAACGATATGGACAGTGGCAAAGATGTTTGAGTTAAAGGGCAAGGAGGCGGGAAACATGTGAACAGATTCCAGTTTCTGGAACTTTTTGATTTTATAGAGGCCGCATTCAAACGCACAACCTTAAAAAAAGAACCAACAAAAAATAATGCTTTGTTTTTTTGGGAAGGGTTCCCAAGAGGTACCTGAAACAATCTAGAACTAGTTTGAAACCATCTCTATCTATCCATCTGTCTGTTTCTCTTTCTCTCCCTCGCTCTCTCTGTCATATTTATCTATCGGTTATATTCTCACTATCTCTAAGATGTGGATCACCTCAATAACTATCGCATTAGTCAGCTGCTGTATTGGCAGCTTGTTAGACCCATTCCCCGTCGGTCTTGATAAACATGTTAACGGGATGCGGAGATCGGTTACACAACAAATTTATCTCAAAAACCTTCCCTCTATTAAGTCAGGATCAGTGGGCCAACAAATCAGAACCATGCCAAAAAAAACATCTCTATAAAGGTCAGGTTCCTGGGCCCCCCTGAATTGGTCATAAGCCACATGTTGGCTTACAAATGGTTTACGAAAGGCCTTCTATGAAATCAGATTTTTATTTTTGTATTCTTTTTGGAGGCTTTGTGCACAGACCTCATCTGACTAAAATTTCCATTTCAAACAATACATGGGTACTACCATCAAATAAATACATTTATATATGTGATTATTTATGTATATAGGAAATAGAAAGGCTATGCAAAGAGCATAAACACCATACGCCAAACGACAAAGAGGGTAGGCATTTTGATTTTATAGATAGTGGGCCATGATTTGATGTGATTTGCATTGCTTGCCTTGCTAACCAGCACCCCCTGGTCAACTTGCAGGCTTTAATTTGAGCCAACCAACCAACACCGTGTCTATAATATCAAAAACATTTGAAGACTATCAAATACTATCAAACAACACCAGGGGAAACCTATAAAATTAAAACAAAAAAACAAGATCATCCATTTGTTAGTCCAAAATCAACCCGCTATAAAATCATAACGCACAGCCTCCTCCAATCTGTTGCCCCAAAAAAAGTCCCACTATAAAATCAAAACACACAGCCTCCTCCAATCTGTTACTTCAAAAATAGATCCACTATAAAATCAAAACTTATGCCTTTGCATTCCTTGTTCACAATCAATCATTCTATTCTATGAAATCAAAGTGTACAGACCCTACGAAAAACATCAGATGTTGAATACTTGTTTTGTGACCATTTTTTGGACCAGGTGATTGCAATACTCTTATGATTATGGGGAACGCTTGCGCGCCTGATTTTATAGCTGAAATACCCGAGGGGGTATCAAAACAATCAGGCAATTATTGTTCTGACGTGTTAGTGCCAGCCAGGATGTTACATGAACTCTCAGGATATTTATCTAATGTATTCCAACGTTGTGTGCATGATTCATTGAAGCATCATTGACCATGATTTGATGGGATTTGCATAGATTGACATTGTTTGCCTTGCTAACCAGCACCCCCTGGTCAGCTTGCAGGCTTTAATTTGAGCCAACCAACCACCACAGTGTCACACTGAGTCTACAATATCAAAAACATTTGAACACGATCAAACAACACCAAAGACAACCTATAAAATCAAAAAAACACACAATCATCCATTGTTACTCCACAAAACAAAACACTATAAAATCAAAAACACAGCCTCCGCCAATCTGTTACGTCAAGAATAGATCAACTATAAAATCAAAACTTCTTCCATTGCATTCCTTGTTCACAACCAATCACTTTATTCTATAAAATCAAAGTGTACAGCCCCCAAAAAAAACACATGAAATTTTGGAATTTTGTTTTGTGACCACTTTTTGGATCAGGTGACCGCTATAATTTTCTGATTATGGGGGACGCTTGCGTTCCTGATTTTATAGCAGAAATATCCAAGGGGATCCAAAGGTACTGCGCACAATTGCACACCTGTGCCGCTGAGCTAATGGAGATTTTTTTCCGCCTGACTTGCTGGTTCTTCATCATGTTTTTTTTTAAATCACAAGCATCATTGACATTAAAATTGTCGATAGGGACACAGCAGGGTGTTGAAGTCACCTGACCCCACCCCTGGGCCAAGCTAGTTTTTGAGCAAAATGGAAATGGTGTGCGATTGACAAGTAGTCATATAAATATATATTAATATAAATCAGACAAACAATGACAAACATATATAGCAAACATATGCAAACATCAGCAAACCATCACAAACCAACCTGCTTGTCAAATACTATCACTATAAAATCAAAAAGCTCAAGCGCAATTTTTATATCTATAAAATCAAAAAGTCAACCTCCAGTGAAACGTGTCCACTTCAGTCCACTTCCAACATAGTAATCACTATAAAATCAAAAGGGAGGGGGGGTACCCTGTACTTGCACCAGTCTATAAAATCAAAAAGTCAGGGACCCCAATGTTTTCTGACAACAAAATGTTTACATAAAAAAATCAGTTTATACGGACCCTGGCGTCCCTGATTTTAAAGAGGATTCCCGGAGGAGGATTATATATATATACGGAAAATGCCTGGGCTTTGCCCGGACCCGCAATGACGACAGACGACGCATCATCATCATCATCATCATCACCATCATCAGAATTAAATCCTTATTGAAGATCTTCAATGAATGTAGAAGTTTCACCGGGGTGGGAGAATTAAACCCTTATTGAAGATCTTCAATGAATGTAGAAGTTTCACCGGGGTGGGAGAATTAAACCCTTTTTGAAGATCTTCAATGAATGTAGAAGTTTAACGGGGGTGGGCTAATTAAACCCTTATTGAAGATCTTCAATGAATGTAGAAGTTTCACCGGGGTGGGAGAATTAAACCCTTATTGAAGATCTTCAATGAATGTAGAAGTTTAACGTTTAACGATGGTGGGATTTTTATATTCCCTAGTACCTTTTTTGTTTTATCCCATAGAGATTTAAGGTTCAACAAGGGTTGGGAATTTAATGTTCCCTGTACCTTTGCTGATCTTCCCAATTTAATGTGAAGTTTAACGGGGGTGGGAGCTTAATATTCCCTAGTTCCCTTGTTGTTTTCCCATAGAAATTTAAGGTTTAACGGGGGTGGGAGTTTAATATTCCCTGTACCTTTGTTGTTTTTCTCACAGGAATTTTGTGAAGTTGCATCAACATTTGTTTGGGAATGGGAAACCTCTATGCTGCAACGCTTGGGCAAAGCCCAGGCGTTGCGCGTATATATATATATATGTATATGTATGATACTGATGAAATGGTTACTGCTGGTTGACATAGGCTGCCAAATCACGGACAGCTTCACAGTTCATGTAGCCTATCACATGGCTGCCTTTTCAGGGTCAATTTTGAAACATCCGCCGTACTGATTCTTACGAGAAAACGTTTTTTTGATAGAAACGCACTCACGTACCTTTCACATTGTCACGCAGCGAGGTTTAGCAGGCGATTTGGCATACTGTTGCCAGTTTTTGAAATAGCTACATGGCTGATCTCCCATAAGAAAAGATATGAACATGTCTTTCCAGCATGTTACGGTTGAATCAATATAGCAACATTCAACCATTCTTAATCGGAATCGCTAAGACCCATGAAAATCATAAACCCCAACTACGGGTTTCAAGGGGGGACCAAGTGATGTCCAATTCATATGCGTCAGTTCTAAAAGTGGGCGTGGGACATTTTTCAATTATGCTAAATTGTGTTGCTTATCCACCTGCCCAGCGTTGAAAACCATTTGTCATCCAGTGATACTGGTTGATTGATAGAGATTCCGAGCTCATTGATGATAATCCATGATAATCCGAGGGTAGGGTAATTCGAACTAACTAATCATCAAGCAGCAGGTGTTTTGATCACATAAAAGCATCTGACCATTAAAATCTAAGCCTATTGAATCCCACTAAATCCCATGATATGCAATAAAATCAACCAAAAAGTCCTGAAATCTCAAAATCCGCTAATATCTCCTATATAAAGGTATCCTAAATACCATTAAACCCCTGTTCCGGTTTAATCTCCACCTCCTCCAAGGCGCAGCCCAGATGATGTTCCAACGTTCCTCCCGTGTCAGATCCTCATTGACACCATGGTCCAAGGGGGCACCGACCACGACCTCAAAGAGGAAGGTCATTGCTATAAGGGTTTAATAAGGGATTGGCTCCTTTGGGAAAGGCTTGGAGTTTGAATTTGGCAATTGCTTTTGGAAAAGGCTTGCTTCTCTTCTGGGCTTCCAGGAGCTGCTCTGGCACAGCTTGCTGCAATAGTGAACCCAGCAAACAAACCTACTAAAGTGAAATGGAGCCTCTCCTGGTCCAGGGCCTTGGAAAATTGTGGAAAAGCTGTTCTTTAATAAGGGTTTAATAAGGGATTGGCTCCTTTGGGAAAGCCTTGGAGTTTGAATTTGGCAATTGCCTTTGGAAAAGGCTTGCTTCTCTTCTGGGCTTCCAGGGGCTGCTCTGGCACAGCTTGCTGCAATAGTGAACCCAGCAAACAAACCTACTAAAGTGAAATGGAGCCTCTCCTGGTCAGGGCCTTGGAAAATTGTGGAAAAGCTGTTCTTTAATAAGGGTTTAATAAGGGATTGGCTCCTTTGGGAAAGGCTTGGAGTTTGAATTTGGCAATTGCCTTTGGAAAAGGCTTGCTTCCCTTCTGGCTTCCAGGGGCTGCTCTGGCACAGCTTGCTGCAATAGTGAACCCAGCAAACAAACCTACTAAAGTGAAATGGAGCCTCTCCTGGTCCAGGGCCTTGGAAA